CAACTGGTAACACAGCTTCAGAGCCGTACACTAGGGAAAATGGGGTTGCCTGAGTTAGCTTTCTCTTTGACGTTCTATACGCCCAGAGTGCTACGGGGAGTCGTTCAGACCAAGTGCCCCCTGTTTCATCCATCATTTTACTCAATATTCGGATGATGGTTTTGTTGGTCGCCTCAGCTTGTCCACTCCCTTGGGGGTCGTATGGACTAGATTTGTGCTGCTTGAGGCGTTCAGAAGTCTTCCCACATGACGATTTACAAAGGGAGTTCCATTGTCGGACAGCATTACTTTTGGTATGCCAAACCTACGGATTATGCTTTCTCTGATGAAGTTGGCTACTCCTACCCCATCTGCCTGGGTCTTGATGTTGTGCAGCTCAACTGCCGGTGCATGTATCAAGTTCCCAAACTTCTGGCAGGATTGGCATCTCATTGCAAAGTTTTTAGCATCTTTTTCCATTGTCGGCCAGTAGTAGCCGAGGTGAATGAGATGTCCATATAATCGCTGCCCTCCTTGATGTTGTGGGCTTCGCTCGGCACCTCATTTGCCTCATCCTTTGGTCAAGGAAGAAGCGGAGGGCCCGCCTCTTAACTCTGATTGCATCGGCTTTGTTCTCAGGCAGTGTGCCATTTCCAAGATAGTCGACATATGGCTGCCTCCATTCTTCACTGCTTAAGAAATGGGCTTTCTCTTCCTTAGGATGGGATTGGCATTTTGCACATTGCCTCTGCAACTCAGTACTTTCCTTTTTCATCTCTGGCCAGTAATACCCTTGCCTCTATATCCGTCGGTATAGACTGATATCTCCATCTCCACGAGACTTAGGGTTGGTTTGGGGTGTCCTAAAAAAGTACACTTTTTGTCTTTTTACGAAAAGATGTGCAGAAAGTAGAGAGGTGATGTGATGAAAAAAAGATAAAAAGATGGATTATATAGGTTATGCCAAACCTAGCCTTAACATGGATCTGCTTAAGTCTGTAAGTTGCTTCTTGTCTACCGACGCACCTTGCCAGCAAGTTGTTGGCACCGCGAAAAAACAACTCTCCTCTGAGGAGCAGAAATTATGCAAGTTCTGCTGGTCTGCTTGTTCCCTGGCCTGTTTTCAACTGTTCTGTTGGATTATATCTGCTTTCCATCCCTCAGCATCTTGCTCTGTATGTTCTTCGGCTAACACTGCTGGTGTTGTTCTTTTCTCGATGACGATGGCTATACTATCATCTGGTATATCCACCTTTGCCCCCAGTGTCGCCAAGGCATCAGGGAAACGGTTGTGTGTTCGAAGGGTATGCTGGATTTCGACATCATCAAATTGAATGAGCAACCCTTGAACCACGGTGCGATACGGGCCCAACAGAGGCTCCTTTAAGGCGAAATCACCCATTGTTTGCCTGACAACTAACTCGGAGTCGCCCAAAATTTTCAACTTGCGGAGTCCCTTCTTTTGGCAACGATTAGACCCAATATCAACGCCTCATATTCAACCTCGTTGTTTGAACATTCAAAATCAAGCTTATATGATAGATGAAACTTCTCTCCTTCTTCACTGGTTTGTGTTATGCCAGCTCCGCCTTTCCCAGATCCCGAAGCTCCATCAAATTTTAAGTCCCAATAAGCCTCAACTGCAGCTGCGGAGACATGGATCTCACCTCTGGTAGAGATACCTCTGCAGGTTCATGTTCACTAGATGGGAATTGGGCCGGTAAGTCTGCAAGTGCTTGGCTCTTAATAGCCTTGGGATTAACACAAGTGATGTCATATTCTGCTAGAGCCAAAAGCCATCTTGCCATTCTTCCAGTCAGAGCGGGTTTGCTTAGCAAGTAGCGGACCGGATCACTCCGGCGTCACAACATCGATCGGGTGTGCCAAAAAATAGTGGCACAACTTCCGCGCTGTGAAGATTAAGACTAAACAATGCCTCTTAATTGGGGTATATCGCCACTCGACACCATTGACTTTGCGACTGATGTAATAGACTAGTGGCATCTGCATGATTGATTTAATCTTATCCCCATCTACTTCAATCCCCCGCCGGAGTACAAAAAAGCCAAGGAACTTGCCGGCGGTAACTCCGAAGGCACACTTGAGAGAGTTCAACTTTAGGCAAAATTTGCGGCACCGCTTAAAAACTTTTTCCAAGTAGCAGAGGTGTCGGTTTGCCTCGGTAGACTTGACCACCAGATCATCCACATATACTTTCACTTCATGATGCAACATGTCATGGAACACTGCAGTCATAGCCCGTTGGTAGGCTGCCCCCACGTTTTTCAAACCGTATAGAAAAAATTTCCCAAGGGTGTTCTAAATGCCGTTTTTTCTGCATCTTCTGATGCCATTTGGATCTGGTTATAACCACTGAACCCATCCATAAAGGAGAACATCTTATGGCCTGCAGTAGAATCGACAAGTGTGTCAACATGGGGCAATGAAAACTCATCTTTCGGGCAGGCCTCATTCATTCAGGTCGGGAAAGTGTACGCAGACCCTGATCTGGCCGTTTTTCTTCTCCACAGGCACAATATTTGCTAGCCAAGTTGGGTACTGTATAGGCTCAATGAACTAGGGCCTCGGCAACTTTTCTACCTCTTCCTTAATCTTTGCCTCAAGGTCAGGGTGATACTTTCGAGCATGCTGCTTAATTGGCCTAGAGTTGGGAAAAGTATCCAGGTGATGGGTGACAAGAGACGAGTCAAGACCAGGCATCTCATCGTATGTCCAAGCAAAGACGTCACTGTACCGCTTCAGTAGTGTTATCAATTCTGCCTCAACTGTTGGAGCCATTGTGTCGCTGATGAACACGGGGCTTGCTCTGCCCTGGTAAGTCACTGAGGTTGACCTCAGCAAGCACCTCCTGCTGCGGTTTGGGTCTATCTTGCACGCATTCAGGGGCGGGCTCAGGCGTCTCCACCAACTCTTCTTGGGACTCATCATCGTCACATTTATTTGTCTCGGGGCCTTCCTCCCAAGGTATGAAGCCTGCCCTCCAAGACCCGTCTTAGGTAGTAAACTGTCTTACCGCCCTCCCGCACCTTAACAATCTTGGGCGGAGGACTTGTGGACTTGCTGCTTCTCTTCTGCCCACTACTTTCTGGAGCAGCCCCTGCATCCCGAATGCCTTCCCATTTTGGCAATTTTACTCCTGCAACTTTACCGGTCCTGGGAGTTTCACCCGTTGACAACTCACTAAGAAAACTGCATCCGAATAGTGTGCCTTCTCAACCCCAAATGGCTGTTCAAACGCATTTATATGGTTACTGTGCGCTTTCCCAACTTTGCCTTCACGCATTGGTGATAACTCGACGGGATAGCTCCATATCGGTGCATCCAAGCTCTGCAAAGTATCATGTGGCAATTTGTGTCCGCTTCAATCACATGAAACTTGGTTGCGGAACGGATCTCACCAACTACTAAGTCCACGACCACATGGCCCTTGGTATCTTTTTTCTCGCCGCCAAAACCCATCACAATGATGGGTTGGCGAACCATCCTGGACTCTGGGATCCCAGCCTATGCAAAGGTGTCAGTAGTGATGATGTTTATGACGCCCCCGCCATCAAGGAAAGCACGCTTGAACTCAGCATCATTGATGTATGCTGTGACAAAAGGAGGATGATTATGGGGATCACATGGAATATTCTGAGGCAATGGTAGCGGAGCCGAAGATATTAGGAATGGTAGCGCTGAGGCAAAGTACCTCGGCAACTTCCCCGCTGCATGTATTCCCTCTGCAACTTGACCGTGGCATGTGTTCCCGCTGCAACTTGACTTCGTCATTTTCCTTCGTGGAGTCTATTTGGACCCTTGGCGGGTCGGACCTACTCCGGCCCACTGTTGGCCCACTTCCCTTGGACTTTAGCCCATGCTCCTTTTTCATTCCTGGTCGCCTCTTTGCGACTACCTCAATACTTAGGCCCATACTTAATTTGGGGTTTAATTTCTGACCCTCTAAAAAAACAGAACGTAGTGGCTAGAAATAGTGTTGAAGCTGAATTTAGATCAATGGCTCATGGAATTTGTAAAGCTTTGTGGATCGAGAGATTATTGGAAGACTTAAAAATTCCACGAACATCACCAATGGAAGTTTACTGTAACAAGAAGGCAGCAAATGCAATTGCTCATAATCTTGTTCTTCACAACAGAACTTAGCATGTGGAAGTCGACAAGCACTTTATCAACGAAAAGATTGAGAAGGAATTGATCTACATGTCTTATATATCCAGCGCAGAGCAGATTGCAGATGTTCTTACAAAGGGACTACACAGGAAGCAGTTCGACCACCTAATCTACAAGTTGGCCATGGAAGACATATTCAAGCCAACTTGAGGGGGAGTGTTGGAAATGGAAAGAAAATAATTCTGCCCGGATATGGCTGAATTCTTTAGGATATCACAGCTGTAAATATCTAGATTTAGTCAATACTATAGAATAGGGAATTTTATATTTAGAATTAGAATTAGTAACTAAATAGTAGCTAATCAGTCCTCAGAATCAGTAGCTAATCAGTCCTCAGAATCAGTAGCTAATCAATCCCTTATTTTATGCCATGTATCTCTTATTAATAGAGGTGCTATGTGCACATTGTTTAAATATGAGAATAAGAAATATTATTCTTTCTAGCTTTCATTCAAAATAATAAAATCCAGTTTTCCAACTAGTACCAAGCATGTAGATTTTAAATTTCTGAACAAATTTAATTAAGGCATTTCAAAATGGCCTATTTGACTGATCAATAAATTAATGGAAGGAAAATAACACAGTGCAGCTTTTTAATAGAGTAAGTAGAACTTCAATTGACAAACAATAATGCAAGACCCCAAATGTTCTAGCAAACACTCACATGGGTGTTGGTCCCACACCCATGTCCGTGGTAGATTTTTTGGTAAATTTTTGCGTATCCCTAGGCATTTTGCTCAATGGTGAAATATGGCAAGAGATGAAAACCACAAAAGAAAGACACGAAAAGGAGCATAATGTAACTAGGGAATCCTGGAAAACAAACTCACTTGGTAAGTCAACGAGAGATGGAAATAAGCTGAACAAATCATCCAAGAGACATCAACGCCAGAAGCACACTTAGAAACGATTTTTCTTATCTGCATCAAAAAAGAAAACAGAAAAAAAATATGTATGAAAGTCAGTAATGCCCTTCACTGCAGATTAAGTCCACAGTATCTCTGAACGCATTCTTTTAGACCCTCCTTTTTTAAATTAAACATATGTGTTTGTCAAAATTTCCATTAAGCTCAATTAGTTTCAATACGAAATTACTATACCATATTTTGTTCCAACAAGGTTGGGAAGGTGCATAATAACTTTAAACATACAAAATAAGGTGTGGCATCACATAAGCAACGAAATTTATTTCTGAAGTAACATTGACAAGACAAAAATAAAATAAAACTACAATTATGAATACCAATATATATGAAGGGTCTTGCTAAAAAGTGCCCTGGGACACGAAAAGTAGACCAAAAAATAAATTTGAAAACACAACACTTCTTATTAAATTCAATGCAGTTTTTATTGAAATTAATGCACTTCTTTTAACTGTTTGACCTATTTTCAAGACACTTCCTTATTTCAATCCCAATATTCAGCACTTTTAAAATTTGTCATATACAAATATCAAGTTATAAGGACACAACAATTGCACGAATTATAACTAAGATCATTTCAATAAAATAAATGAAATATGTCTTTTAAGAATGGAACCAAAAAGATGACACAAGAAACTTACTTCTCTACATTTCATGAGCTTTAGCATTAATGGGAAAAACTACAAATGCAAGACTGATGTTAGAGGAGGATAAGTTACCAAAATATTTGATATACATGTTTCATATTTCTTCTTTTCTACTTCTAAATCTGAAAATTCAGTCAAATAAAGAAACTAAATCCTATGCAAAGAATCATGCCAATCTCAAATCATACCTAAGGGAGTAATGTAGGAAAATTAGTTAAAAGTTTTCTCTTGTTAAGAATTCGAAAGTCAGTGTAGCAGCAACAACAGGGTCTAAAAATTCACTGCAATCAAACATTGGAAGAGTGGTTTTCAAATATGATTTATCATATGATATGCATAAATAGAGAATAATTGTTAGATGAAATCATAATTTCATTTTTTCCCCACAAATAAACTATTGTGAAAGGACTACAAACTAAACCATCTTTACCGGCTCAAACATGAATGAATGAAGGTCCTCCTACTGGGATCAGCATCATGTAGAACCACCTCTCCAAAATAAAGAAAAAATAAACGAATTTCCTGAGTAAAACTGTAGAATAAAAGAACAATGCTTACATTAGCACATATGTAAGCATAATGATGAGGGGAAGAACTAGGAGAGAGGTAAATATCAAGCACCAAAAATACTTCAACATTCCAAATAAATAGTAATTACAAGTTAATAACACCTGCAATAAATTTATGGTCATTTTTTTCCATGTTTTGTTTGGTTCTGTTTTGAATGAGAACCATCATGGCTCAAGCTTTGATAGTTTCTTAAGTTAGACAAGGTCTCTTCTTTTTTTATAACAAAACAACTAACTCATTGCAACAAGCAAACATATAAATTCTTCTCAAAGAAAGTATTTTCTCCCCCCAACCTAAACGATGCATTGTCCTCAATGTAAAAAACAAAATCACAAAGGTTATGAGATTACCTTAAATAATGAACCAAGTCTATATATATATATTTTTTTTTTTTTTTGAGCGTCAACAAAAAATTTATTAAAAAAGAAAAGATGAACCATGAACCTACAAGGGATTATTGCCAAAAACACAAGGGAAAAAAATTACAAACGAAAAACTAACGACTCCTAAAAGTAACATTGCTTTTATTATTATGTTTATGGGTCTCGATAAATAGGGCCTTTTAATTCAATGGACTCTCCTCTTCAGGTGGGAAATTCTCCAAAACTGGTTTAAGACGTTGGCCAGTCACTTTAAAAACATTACCATTCCTGGGATTTTCAATCTTAACGGCCCCATGAGAAAAAACAGTTTTAACTACAAAAGGGCCGGTCCATCTAGATCTCAATTTACCAGGAAACAAATGTAGTCTAGTTTTATACAAAAGAACCTTTTTGTGAAGGCTCAACAATTCATTTGAGTACAAACAATATTAAATTAAAAACATATCATATACAATGACACAGGGAGGACAAGTCAATCAACTGGGGGCCCTTTTTTCTTTCAAAACAGCACCCCTTTTCTGCTCCCTTATCTACAAAAATATGAAATCTTGCCTTTAGGCAATAGCAATATTATCTTTTATTCGATGAAAAGCTACAAACACAAGACCTTTGTGAGTAAAAAGGTATATATATTATGTAGAGGGTTAGAAAATTAAGATAAAATTTACCATCTTGTTACGCTGAATTCGAGCAGCCCAAGCACCCTTGACAACATTACAGTCAGATCTAGTGTTCTTGCTATTATCTAAGTCACCCAATATATATTACATATAAGGAACAAAAGATGAGTAGTAAGTAAAAGGAAAAATAAATAAATATTTGAAGAGCAGAATCAAAATATAAAAAGACTGGAGGTACAATGAAATCTTGTCTAACCTTTGAGAGAAGTTTTGTGGATGCTATGAGATGATTTCAAAGCAAACCGAGTCTTATGGGCCTGGTTGAGCAATTTATATTGTTGATGGCTCAAATGTAGTTTTTCTAAAAATTTAAATTAAATACATTAAATCACAATTAAATATAAATTGAGAGAATGAATATAATATCCAAAATTCCTAGAATAACTACGTAATTTTAAGCATTCGTCACACCTCCCAACCAGCTTTAATTTTAGAACCTAGCAATTAAGGCGACTAAAATAAAATCAAAAAGAAAAATAAAAGCAACTACTCTAAACCACTTCCGCAATAAATCACGATTGAATTTAGCACATGCAACAAGCCCTTAATCCAATAGATTAGCCCTCATGGACGAGTTAAAGTCTCGTGTTTCCAAAGATGTTACCCACAAATATCCAAAAATTTCTTTACTAAAACGACTTCTTTCATTCTCATGCCAAGGTTAAAGAACCAGTCATGAATTTCACAACCTTAACAAGATAATCAATCAAAGTTCAAAAGACTAGCAGCAAGTAAAGATATTGCATGACATTCAAAATTTGGAGTGTGTGAAAAAAGTTCAACCAACACAGACACAACCTTAGCCTTAAAGTGAAATATAACCCAAATCTCTTTCTGAAACATGCTTCGACTCAAATCTCACCAGTTATTGCACTCAACAAATAAATCACTCGGAATATGGTGCAAAAATTGCTCTCAATATATGCGAGTAGAACAATGTAAATCAAAGGCAAAATATCCCGCATACTAATTTTTTTGAAAAACGCTAACATGAAAGAATAAATAAATAGTCTCATGAATGGAATATCAAATACTGAGAAATAAAATTTCTAGAAGTGTTACCCACAAACGTCAAAAATTTTCTTTACTCGAAGGATTTCTTTCGTTCTCATGCTAAAGTTCAAGAACAAGTCATGAATTTCACAACCTTAACAAGACAACCAATCAAAGTTCAAGACACTAGCAGCAAGTAAAGATATCTCATGACATTCAGAATTTGGCGTGTGTGAAAAAGTTTAGCCAACACATACACAACCTTAGCCTTAAAGTGAAATATAACCCAAATCTCTTTCTGAAACATGCTTCGACTCAAATCTCACCAGTTATTGCACTCAACAAATAAATCACTCAGAATATGGTGTAAAAATTACTCTCAATATATGCAAGTAGAATAATGTAAATCAAAGGCAAAATATCCCGCATACTAATTTTTTGGAAAAACGCTATAATGAAAGAATAAATAAATAGTCTCATGAATGGAATATCAAATACTAAGAATTAAAATTACCACACCATCACCCCAACCCATCATGTCCACTTGTAAACTATACCACACTCAAGATCAAATAGGACTTTTATTTGGTTGTAAAGCTTGGGTTGAGGAATTACGAAAAAATAATAAAAAGCCAAAGGTGAATAAAAAAAAGGACGTCTGAGAGACAATTGGCATAAAAATAAACACAATTAGAGCATTATTCCAAATGCCTTGCTCTTTCTATTTCTTTTCTTTTTGTTTTTTTCAACTTCCTCCTGCTTTTTTTTTTTTCTTTTTGTTTTTTTTTTTCCCTTAGTTGAACACAATTTATTTCTTCTTATTTTTTTCAGCTTTTCACCTTTTTTTTTCTTTTTTCTTTTTTTTTCAAACAAATTTGCCATTGTCAAACTCAAATAATCCCATCATATCCACAAAAGTAAAAAGAAAGTATGGGTTGTGGGGTTAAACAAAGAAAGGCTAAAATAAAGGCTCAAATTGGTTTCTAATGGTTCATGAATTAATAATAAAAGAAAGAAAAATAAATAAAAGGCTCAAAGAAACAAAGATGGCCTAAAATCATCTCTCAAGAATTAGTATGGTCCTTCAACTTTCATGATCTCAAGGGAATAAAAGTGTCATAACAAATTGATTTATTCTCAGCATTCAACCAAAATGAAGAAATAATGAGACTAAACAACAAATTAATGTCCTTCCAAAGAAAATTAAGAGTAGATGTATAGTAACCCTCCAATAAATGATTGGCACAAAACTCACAGGGTTAAAAGTCTCCACTATCATTCTTCAAGATTTTCAAGTCATATCCACTTATCAACTAAAAATCATATTCATGTGGCTAAAGTGCAGTGCAATTATTTCCAAATACGAACACATGAAATACTTTAACAAAGTAGCTAGCATATCAAACTTCAACACAATTTCTCAAGTTAAAGCAATAAAATACTACTAGTATGCCAAATCACTCAATGCATAGAACAATAAATTACCATGCACACCTTTTTTCTTTTTTTAAACAAAACAACTAACTCATAGTAGCAAGCAAACATATAAATTCTTCCCAAAATAAGTATTTTCTCCCCCCAACCTAAACGATGCATGATCCTCGAGGGAGTAAAAAGTGTGATAACAAATTGATTTGTTCTCAGCATTCAACCAAAAATGAAAAAATAATGAGACTAAACAACAAATTAATGCGCTTCCAAAGAAAAATTAAGAGTAGATGTATAATGACCCTCCAATAAACGATTGGCACAAAACTCACAGGGTTAAAAGTCTCCACTATCATTCCTCAAGATTTTCAAGTCATACCCACTTATCAACTAAAAATCATATTCATGTGGCCGAAGTGCAGTGCAATGATTTCCAAATATGAACACACGGAATACTTTAACAAAGTAGCTAGCATATCAAACTTCAAAACAATTCTCGAGTTAAAGTAATTAAATACCACAAGTATGCCCAATCACTCAATGTATAGAACAAAAGAATACCATGAGCACTAAATTTTTATTTTTTTTTTAACAAAATAACTAACTCATAGCTGCAAGCAAATATATAAATTCTTCTCAAAATAAGTATTTTCTCCCCCCAAACTAAACAATGCATTGTCCTGAATGTAAAAAATAAAATCAAAAAGTTAAGGAGATTACCTTAAATGATTAACCATGTCTATATGTGCCATTGCCTGCAAGGGTTAGCGCCAAAAACATAAAGGGAAAAAAATACAAACGAAAAACTAACAACTCCTAAAAGTAACATTATTTTGAATAACATGCACAAACCGGATCATTGGAAATTTTGATCAATTATTTTTAACAACTTTTTGAATGGAGTAAAGGAAGTTGGAATCGTTGATCGCTAATTATCTAAAAACTACGAAAAGGGTGTTTTTGGTTTCTATAACGCGCCACAACAAATGAAACACAAAATTCCAACAAAATCTCCACAAAAGAAGAGATAAAACTGCATAAGATAATACATGTATTAGCAGTTCACTCTTTGCATGTTTTTTTCCACATGAAACTATTAACAAAGTTTTTTTTTCCCACTTTTCCTTCCATTTCTTTTTCCCTTCTCATACAAGATCCACCGGATGCTTATCATGAAATATAACCCAAATTATTGTAAAGGAATTTCCAAACCTCGCACATATGTTAGAACACTATAGCAATTGCAATCAAATACTTCACAGGATCAATATAAATAAATTATATATTACATATATATATAACGCCACGTATATCAGTATAACCAATTGCCCTATTTTTGTTTCATCATAGAGTAGTTGAAAAAGGCGTCATTCCAATACATTATGTAAACAAAAACCTATGAACTACTCAATTCTCAATTCAACAGCACACCCAATTTTCAAACAACACAATTCAAATTATTTTGGTTGAAACTCATATTAAATTGTATGAATCGAATCATGCATCATACAATTCTAACATCATACTAGTTGGAACCTGTAAAAGCGGTGTCAATAGAATTATTTTGATCAGTTACTCATGAAATACAATATCCATTTCCAAGGAATTCTAGCAATATAAGTGAATTTATTCTTCAATGATAACTGAGATTAGAAATTACATGGTTGTCGACTCTGCTAGCTGGTGCCGGAAGCAAGACGAGATCTGCTTCCAAATCAGGTTGAAGATATGCAAGCACCCCCATCACCTTCTATCTCCATGCCCATGTTAGCTTCCCAAGAATCACGCTCTGCATCACAACATCAAAAAGGATAAATGAAAAAAATAAAAACTAAAAAAAACTAGGGCCCAATTTAGTCTCCATTTCCAAGCAATGGCAGCAACATAAGTGAAGGAATTCTTGAGTGATAACTGAGATTACCTGGTTGTTAACTCACTGCTCAGTTGAGGAATTCTTTAGTCTTCATCACTTGTGTTACTACTCGCTGCTCAGTTGCCACTGAATAAAAAAAGGTCTACATTAATCGCCCAAAAACACATGGATTTATTATATATAGCCCAACAGACATTAATTATGTAGCAACTACCACCAATAAACTACTAAGTGAATTTTTAGACCATGTTGTAGAAGCTACACTGAAATTTCGAAATCTTAGCAAGAGAAAACTTCTAACTAATTTCCCTGCATTACTCCCTCAGGTATGATTTGAGATTGGCATGATTCTTTGCTTAGGATTTAGTTTCTTTATTTGACTGAATTTTGAGATTTAGAAGTAGAAAAGAAGAAATATGAAACATGGATATCAAATTTTTTGGTAACTTATCCTCCTGTAACATCAGTCTTGCATTTGTAGTTTTTTCCATTATTGCTAAAGCTCCTGAAATGTAGAGAAGCAAGTTCCTCATGTCATCTTTTTGTTCTGTTCTTAATAGATATATGTAGTTTATTTTATTGGAATGGTCTTAGTTATAATTCGTGTAATTGTGGTATCCTCAAGATATTTGTATATGACAAATGCTATAAGTGTTGGATATTAGGATTGAAATAAAGAAGTGTCTTGAGAATAGGTCAAACAGTTAAAGGAAGTGCATTAATTTCAATAAAAACTGCATTGAATTTAATAAAAAGTGTCTTGTGTTTTCAAATTTATTTTTTGGTCTACTTTTCGTGTCCTCGAAGCACTTGTTAACAAGACCCTTCATATATTGGTATTCATAATTTTAGTTTTATTTTATTTTCGTCGTGTCAATGCTACTTCAGAAATAAATTTTGTTCCTTATGTGATGCCACATCTTATTTTGTATGTTTAAAGTTATTAAGCACCTTCCCGACCTTGTTGGAACAAAATATGGTATAGTAATTTCGTACTAAAACTAATTGAGCTTAATGGAGATTTTGACAACTAAACACATATGTTTAATTTCAAAAAGGAGGATCTAAAAGAATACTTAGAGCCTAGTGTCAAGAGAAAATTGAGAAACTAATTGGCATGAGTAGTATTTTATTTTTGAGTTACACGACTTATGTCTACAAATTGGCTTTCCTACTTAACAAAAAAAATAAAAATAGAATCATCTTTACCGACTCAAACATGAATGAATGAAGGTCCTCATACTAGGATCAACATCATGAAGAACCACCTCTCCAAAATAAAGAAAAAATAGACGAATTTCATGAGTAAAACTATAGAATAGAAGAACAATGGTCACATCATCACATATGTAAGCATAATGATGAGGGGAAGAACTAGGAGAGAGGCAAATATCAAGCACCAAAAATACTTCAACATTCCAAATAAATAGTAATTACAAGTTAATAACACCTGCAATCAATTCATGGTCATTTTTTCCAAGTTTTATTTGTTTCTCGTTTGGTTGAAGGGCTATTTTTTATAAAATTAAACTTCTAAATAACTGAAAATCTCGGCGGTTGCCTCGCCCTCAATCTCCATCAACATCTCCAAATTACATGGACTACACTAACAGGAATTGCAATGTATGTAGAACTCTGAACGTGAAGTAAAAGCAAAATTAAATAAGATGAGACAAAAACAATACACATTTTTTAACAATGGAAAAGTGGGAACATGCATATAGGAGTCACCCAAAAAAAAAAAAAGAAGCAACAACATTATTTAATGGGAACTGCAATTTTATAACTAAAATCTATGGCGGTAGTGATGGAAAATTATTTGCACATCCACAAGCAAAGATGTAAGCAAGTTGCACCCTGCCATGACACAATATACATTGAATGCTTTGATTTTCAAGCTTTTCCAATAGAAGCCTCAGAGTAATACCAAAACAAAACTTGTCTCAATTCTACTAAAATAACTTTTTTACCTCATAAGAGAAAATTTGGTCTATAAATAGAGTAGAAGTTTTCACTGTACATAAGGGAACCAATGCACATATTAAAGCTGAAACACATTAAAGCTAAAACAAAACATGAATTTCAAAATTACTATACAGAATGAAAATATTGTGACATGCATCAAGAATAGAGTCAAAGTGAAAATATTGACATCATGCAATGCTATAGCAAAATACACATCAGGAGAGAGAGGAGAGATAGTGACAGTGGTGATTAAGAGTTTGATGAGGGTGTCTAATTTAAAAAAATTATTTGAAAAAAATTAATTGAAAAAAAAAATTATTTGAAAAAATAATTAATTGAAAAAAAAATATCAGAAAAAAAAATTATTTGAAAAAAAATTATTTGAAAAAAAAAAATGAAAACTAAAAACGTAAACTCATTTTTTGAGTTTACGTTTTTTCCTTAAATTTATAAACGAAGACAACCATTTATAAATCAAAAAAATTATCAAATAAGTTTTTATGACAATTTTTAAAATTTTTATAAATATAAACTAAAAACTAAAAACGGAATAGTTACTAAATAGACCCTAGAGGTTTAGGTTTAATTTTTTACCTCACAAATTGTCTGAGTTTTATTTTATTTTAAATTTTTGATACTTTTTGGTCCGTGTGTCAATTTTTTGTTTATTTATTTTTATTTTTAAATGGAACGTGAGTGATTGCCTTGACTATGACATATTTTATGAACTAGTGTATGTCCGGGTTTAAAAACACCCTTTAAGCCTCCTCCGTTTGGGAAGTGAGTTGGTTTTTTGACTTTTTAATTTTCTTAGATATTTTAATTTAGGCTAAAAAGTTTGGTTTTGGAAAAATTTTTTGACTTTTTTTGTGAGAGAAGAATGTAATAATTATGGATTGGATGTGATATTTTATTTTTTGTGGCTAAAATAGCCTATTTTGTCTTTTGTGGCTAAAATAACAAAAAAAGCCCCGTTTAGCTCTTGCCAAACGGAGCCTAAATATTGTTGAGATCAAAATACTGTTATAATTTATATGTATCATGTTAAAATTTGTAGAATCTTGAACTTTTTTTTGATAAAAAAACTGAAAAAATATAAAGAAATATTCTGCTTCATATGGATTACAATATAATTTATCTAATTTGTTGCACAAAAAAAAAAAATTTGAGGTCAAAATATAAATAGATGGTCTATTTGGTTTGAATTTTCAAATGAATTTTATAATTAGAGTTTGGTTGTATATTTTGAAAATAATTTTTACAAATTTAAAATTCAAAACTTATTTAGTTTACAGTTTTCAAAAATAATTTTTAAAATTTTCAATCTGTATTTTATTTCTTTTAGTAAACTTTTTAAATATTTTAATCAACAATTTTTACTTTTTCAGATCCATTCAATCTGAATACACTTAAAAATTATAAAATTTAGAGTAATATTATAAAATTTACACTTAAATATTTTAAAAATAATTTTTACAAATTTAAAATAAAATATTATAATTTTGCATGATTTATGTGTTTTGTTGTATTTTGAGTATTTGAACTCAAATTATAGTAAATAATACATTTTAATTATTTTTTTATATTTTGTATAAAAATAAATACTAACAAAAACAAAAACATATGGTGGCGGTGGCCGCGACACGGACAACAAAGCACACTTTGTGTCCAAGAGCCACAACAGCCCAAAAAAACAAAAAACAAAAAAAACTCTTCACCCCCACCCACCCATCCATCCTTTCTCGCTCATCTCACTTTTTCAAATTTCAAATTTTAAAACACACTCACTCTCTCTCTCTCCCCTCAAAACACACTTTGCTACCCCAAGAAGAAGAGGCCAAATCTATAAAGGCCAAAAAAATAATCCTGCCATATTAAGTGTTTGAGACGTGAGAGAAAGAGAGAGAGAGCGAAGAGAGAGCGAAGAGTATTGATCTTAACCATTGATATACACTTAGAATTAATTTAGACCATTAAAAATCATTTTGGACATTTTTAAAAATCATCCTGCCATATTATATAGATTTACCTTTGCCATTGTCACTATGTCAGGCACAATGCCTAGGGTCTCAAATCCCCAAAAATGGCTCCCAGTGTGAGCAAACCCAGATTGAACCTCATCGGCAATACAAAGCCCTCCTGCTTTTTTAATACTGCTGTATACGGCAGGGAAGTAACCTGGGGCCAATTCAATAATTCCATCCACTCCCTGCCATTTTAGAGAGTAGTTGAAATTAGACAGTAACTCGGAAGAGGTTGTATTAATAGAAAAATGATATTCTCACACAATTTTCATACAGAATTTAAGACAAAAATAATGTGGCAATGACACTCTTGCAATTATGAACCATAGTGATGGGCATTTGACTATCAATGCAGGGATATAAATGCGACACATCATTTTGCATAAATTTTTAGGGTGCAAATGACTGGGAAGAGGTTGTATTTAAAGTTTCATGTATGGTCCACTGAGATGAATAATTTTTAGGGTGCAAATGACTGGGAAAGTCAGCTCTGGGGTAATTTTTTTTTTTTTTTCAAGGAAAGAATTTTTATTTATAAAAAAGAAAAAGAAAAAGAAAAAAAAAAAGAAGCGATTTTTACTCTTTGTCCATTCAGATGATCAGGCTCTGAATTCATGTATAGAAAACAGTAACATGAATCCCTATGTATGTATATGATAGTAATCAAATTAATTGATTCAGAGAGAGAAAACCAATACATGACATTAACATTTACAAGCAGCAGATACATTTAATTACAAACAGATTAATTAATACACGCATCTGCTTATGTAAGAAATTT